TTCCAACTAAATTATTGTGTTTTATTGCTCTCAACCGGCTACAAACATTATTCTTTCTTAGAAGAAGTTTCTTTTTCTCTGCACAACTCCAAATTTAGTTGTGATTTTTTAGGCTTTTCCTTCTTCTGGTTCTGTTCGCTGTCTTTTGGTGTAAATTGTGGTTTATTTAGTGAAATTGTCTTTAGCTTTTCACTAAAGTTGTCTAAATGGTTTGCTTTTAAGTGAATCAATGTCATTGGGTATTAAGTTGATTAATTTAGGGTCTTAAAAATTATGAAACAAACCCTCTTGACCAAGAAGTTTTAAAGATTAAGTGACTTTTTTTCTGTGTTTAAAAGGGGATTTATTATAATTTATTTTTTAAGCCTTATAAAGACATAATAGGTATAGTTTGAAAGTATTTTATAAGGAACTTAATCACAGGATTTTGAATACAATATTCAGTGACCATAGAATAGCTGAGGGATCTCAAAACTCTCTTCTTGAGTTATCTTCACGTATTTTTAAGTAGAGTTTGGAAACTGAAACCGTTCAGTGACCTAAAACTGATAGTACCTAAAAGTTCTCAATACCCGTCTTCTCAGTGATCTTGACGTGTTCCTAAGTAGACTGTGAAAACTGGATCTACACAGAGGGAAAAGGAAATATACACGCCTGTTAGCAAATTGACACCAAAGAGTTTAAAATACATACGTGCAACAACACTATGTAATGTTGACAACGCAACGTTGTTAACATTGCAACAATTCGTTGTCGAAATCAAAATTTTATACACATCCGTGGTAAGCTCACTATTGACAAACAATCCGTTGCTTACCACGTTTGTTAACATTTAGACAACGGATGAGTACAAAATTTTGATTTTGACAACGAATTGTTGCAATGTTGTCAACATTAGTGTTGTCATACGTATGTATATAGTTTGACAACGGATGGTATTGAAAAATTATAAACAGTTTGGTGTCAATTTGTAGTGTCCATTGCTTTCAATTTGTTATAATTTGCAAATAAAACTTTGGAGCAAAATTCCTAAATTTTTTGCTCCTTGGCTCCTTTTAACTAAAAATTGATAATTTTTAATTATATCTATTTACATTTTCCCTCGTAGCTGCAACTTAACTTCAATTACCTTCTGACTCATTCGACACAAAACTTTTTGAAGTATTTACGTTTTTATTTTTTATAAAAAAATCCAAGCAAAAAACTAAACCTAATAGTTTTATAAAACTCACATTAATTTATGCAGTGTTAATTTAAGTTATTGTTGTGCACTTATTACTCGTCCGTCCGTCCGTCTGTCCATCTGTCTGTCTGCCTTTTTTCTTATTATTTTCCATGCAATTTTAACAACAAGAGTACGACAAAATGAACAAAAAAATAATAAAAACTTTAATTCACTTTGTTTAACTAAACATGTCAACACTTGCTTTACACACACATTTTACATGACAACAATCGTTTTCCTGTAAAAGAAAAAACGAAATCATACAAAGCGCCGCGCTAATAGACAACAACAACAAGTGAAAGATCAAAACCCAGCGATCTACATCACATTTACATAGCACAGACACACAGAAAGACTTACACTGTGTACCTCTCGGTTTTAGGGTTGGTTAAGTAATCCTTTTTATGAGTATTTTACCCTGGTCTAGAGGGAAGAGGTATACATACGAACTAGTCTGCAGACTATTTTTCTGGAATAGAGAACCTGTTCTAGATCCAATACATATATAACATCATGATGTTATAGAAGGTTCACTATCAATTCTGTAATTGAATGGATAAAATGACTAACTTTTTAGAAATCCCAAGACCAATTCGCTTATATCTAAGAACACTAAGAAAACTCAATTGATTACTTCACACATTACAAGTAATAGAACATAGAATCCATTGTCTCTTTTGTGTCTTTAAGTAATCTAAATGGTAGTCATTTCGAAATGCCATTTAAAAAACAATACATTTTCGTCTTAACTATTATTTACACAACTAACCCTTAGTGATAGACAAAAAAAACTAGTTTGGTATAGGCTATCAGAACTACTGGGCAATGCAGTTTTAAAGTATACAAGTGTGTATGAGTGTGAGTATATGTAAATTAACGTGCCTGCTGTAATGCATACAAACAACAAAAAAGTGTAATGCAATGTGTTGCTGATGATGATGATGTCTCTTCTCCTGTTATTGCTGGTGATGGTGGTGATATTGTTGGAGTTTAAGTTTGAGTTGATCTTGATTTGGTTTAGTTTAGTTATTTTTTGTTTGTAGCACACACAGTGTTGTCAACACTGCATAATAATGAAGTTAATTTGTAACATGTTTATAAAACTAAATAAAAATCAACACAACAACGACACAAAAAAAAAACAACAACTATAAAAAAACTACACGACATTAACAATTACCATGATTTAGCTACGATTTTATGTTAAGGACGGCGATTAGAAAATATCCTAAAGATTTTTCGTTCGTTTTAATTTAAACTTTAAAAATGTTTGTGATTTAAAGTTAAAATATTAAAAACTTTTCAGTTTTTTCTAAATTCTAGAGCGATATTTTTGAAAAAATTTCACAAATTTAACTTATACTCAGTCCTTAGTAGAGTGAATAATTTTTACATTCTTGTGCTCGTAGTTGCTGTTTAATATAATTTATTTAACAGATATTTAAATTTTGAAATCATTTATTTTTAATTAATTTGCAATTTAATGGATTTTTTAACACTTTAGTAATAAAGTAAATTGAGCAAATAATTAATTTGTAAAAGTTTATTAAAGGCTTTTAAAGTACTCAAAAATATAAGATTTTTTCCGCTAGTAAAACTAAATGTCACTGAAAAGGTTTAGGAAGATAGTAATAACTTCAAATATGTATAAAAGCTTTTACAAATATTAAACTTTATAAAAAGCTTTTACAAAATAAAACTTTATAAAATTTTAGCATAAAGAAAGCTCTATATGAAACTTTGCAAAACAAAGCTGTATAGAAGCTTTTACAAAGGGAAAACCTTAGAAAAGCTTTCAGTAAAATAAAGCTTTATGTACGATTTTGAAATTTAGAGCTTTATAAAAGAAAGCTTTAACAAACATAAAGCTTTTACAAAAAAAAACTTTATTAAAGTCTTTACAATAGCTTTTTCAAAAAGAAAGCTATAAAAAACTTTTTCAAAAATTAAGTTTTACAAGAGCTTTTTCAAAATTAATGCTTTTAAACAAACTTTTTTCAAAAATAAAGCTTTAAAAAATCTTTATAAAAAATTAAGCTTTTTAAAAGCTTTTACAGTGTTTATAAACTTTATAAAAGTTAAAAAAAGGCTTTTAAAAAAACTTTTTGCTAATTTTAGGAAGCTCATGGAAATTCTTACTGTAATTTGCCACAAAAACTGCCTAAGTTCAAAAAAGCTAAATGAAAGTTTTGTTACTGAAAAGGTTTAGGAAGATAGTAATAACTTCAAATATGTATGTTTTACAAAAATAAAACTTGATAAAAAGCTTTTACAAAAGTAAACCTTTATACAATTTTAATATAAAGAAAGCTCTATATAAAATTTTGCAAAAAAAAGCTGTATAGAAGCATTTACAAAAGGAAAGCCTTAGAAAAGCTTTTAGTAAAATAAAGCTTTATGTTAGATTTTGAAAAATAGAGCTTTATAAAAGCTTTTACTAAAAGCTAATTTTATAAAAGCATTTATAAATGAAAGCTTTAACAAAAATAAAGCTTTTACAAAAAATCTTTATAAAACGAAAGCTTTAACAAAAATAAAGTCTTTACAAAAATAAAGCTTTAAAAAATAAAGCTTTTACAAAAAGAAAACTTTACTAAAGCCTTTACAAATAAAGCTTTTTCAAAAATAAAGCTTTACAAATGCTTTTTCAAAAATAAAGCTTTACAAAAGCTTTTTCAAAAATTAAGTTTTAAAAAAGTTTTTTCAAAATTAAAGCTTTAAAAAAAGCTTTTTCAAAAATAAAGCATTACGAAAGCTTTTCAAACATAAAGCTTTAAAAAAGTTTTTCAAAACTAAAGCTTTAAAAAGCTTTTTCAAAAATATTGCTTTAAAAAAGCATTTGCAAACAAGTTTATAAAAATAAGTTTTTAAATAAACGTTTGCTAATTTTTGCAAGCTCATGGAAATTCTTATTGCAATTTGCCAAAAAAAAACTTCCTAGGTTCGAATAAGCTAAATGAAAGTTTTGTTACAAAAATAAGCTTTTCCCCTAAAAACTTAAACATGTTCCTAACAAGAAAGCTATTCTCAGAAACTAAACTTTTAGTAACACAGCAATTTTTAAAAGCTCTAAGTTGTAAACAAAAAGTTTTCTTGCAAAAATAAGCAAAACAAATAATTTTTAATGAATTACAACTTAATCATAAAGTTCATCCACACTTGAAAAAAATAAGCTTGATCTAGGATAATAAAGCTTTTGTAACAATTAAAAGCTCTTTTTCCGAAAAGTTCATGTAAAATATTTTCTATAAATGTCATTATTAGAAAGCTCATTTGGTGTAATCTAAACCTTGGACACTTTCTTTAAACTAAATGAAATCATTTATTCAAAACCCTGTAAGTTCTTACAAGTGCCTTCAAGTAGTTGAATGAATATTGTGTAGATGGTAACATTTAATGTTTTTCCTAGTTCTCTAAACAAATTACAAAACGGTTTCTTTTTTTTTTGTCCACAATAATAATGGGTTAACAGGGTCTAATGTCATCTTCTGACTATTTCTGCCTCATCATCATACAAATGAAAACTAACAGCACTAAAATCCAACAAAACAAAGGATCTTTCTTACTCACAATTCTTGTAGAAAAATGTGAGCAGAAATTGAAATTAAATCACACAGATATTTACACGTTTTCCTGAGCTTTAGACAAAGTTCTTTATTTAAAAATAAGAAAATAAAATTAAATAAATTACAAAAAAGGGAAGATGTATTTTGTATTTTGTTGTTGTTGGTGTTGATGAAGAATACCAATTTATATCTAAATATATAGTTCTTACCTCTCATTAAGATTTTCCTCATGCTTTTGCGTAAAGTTGTGCAATTCCAGCGACGATTTCGAAATTGAAATTCACATTCTCGGAAGCCTAGATTAATGCCGTTGATGATCTCTTTTAGCAGGGCAGAATCGTGTCGGCAAATTTCAGCCATTTTACCACGTAGACGACGTGTCTTTTACACATTAAATATGGATCAAGTAAAATATTAGAGCCCTCAGCCCTATAGTTTGTTGTTATTGTTCATTGTGATTGTAAACATGTGGGTGTAAAGAAGGAAGGAAGTTTTGGTTGAGTCATGAAAATATAGAAAAAGAAACAGAGATTTAAATTTAAAAAAAAAAATCTTAAAATTAAATTAAAAATTGTTTGTTTCTCTAAGATACTCATCATAAGTTACTCCTTCCGTTAGTTCAACCCTGTCATCGCTGTTAGTTTTAAATCAATAATTTTATGATATCAATAAAATAACATGATGCTCAATAATTTTGTCGATAATAAAATCTCATAAAATAAACCTCCAGCTGTTTTATTTAAGTTTAAATAACAATACAAATTATAAAACAACAACCACAAGTTTCCTAACACCTTTAATTGAACAACAACACTTGAGATTAACAATAAAAACTAAGAAAATATCGCCATCAACTGAACTAAGCTGAACCGAACCAAAGCAAAGCAAAGCATTTCAAATTGAAATTCTATACACTGCCAACGTTCGCTCAACTGACTTCTAGTGATAAAAATCGACATCACTACAAATTATAGGGTGTCACCGAAATTCAAATTAATTCAATGATTTTATTAACAGCGATAACAAACAAATGCAAATGCAATGTTTGTTCTTTGCACTTGTTTTAAATAGAAATAATGTTCAGATTATATACAGATTTTTTTTCTATACAAATGTTTAGTATAAAATTTAAAAATCATTTGAATATTCATTGATTAGTTTTATTTTTTCTGAAACCTACACAAAATTCATTGGAAATTAGTATGAAAAATTTGCATAATCGATTTGTAGTTTTGAAATTCAATTGAAAATAATTGATTGTTACACTTGATAAACCATTACGTTACACTTAATGAAATTATATTTTGATTATTTATTAAATAAAAATGAATTCTAGCGACTTTTTAATGAAGAAAAACTGCTGAAAGCAAGCAACTTTTAAATAAACTTTTTTTGGAAAAAAAAGTTGCTTCAACATCAATACGTTTTTACAGCAACAGTTGCTTTAAAAAGTTGCCTTGAATCAAATAACCTTTGCTTCCAAACAAGCAACTTTTCTACAGAAAAATATGCTTCAATACAAGCATCTCATCTTTAGGAAAAACTGACTCAAAACGAAGAACTTTTCTATAGAAAAAGAGGCTTCAATACAAGCATCTCTTCTTTATGAAGAAATGACTTAAAACGAGGAACTTTTCCAAAAAATGCTTTGAGCAGGAAAAGTTGCTTCAGAATAAGCAACTTTTTTATGGAAAAAGTCGCCTGAAAACAAGCAAGACAAACTTGCTTGTTTTCAAACTTCTACTGAAAAAGTTGCTTCAAAAAAAGAAACATTTCTATAGAAAAAGTACCCTTAACACAAGCATCTCTTCTTTAGGAAAAACCATTCTCTATGAATAGTTGCTGTCAGTCAAGCAACTTCTTAATAGGAAAGTTGCTTTCAATTTAACAACTTTCTTTAAGAAAATTTGTTAACAATTTTCACAACTTTTCTGTAGAAAAAGTAGCTTCAAAAAAAAAAACAACATTTCAACAGGAAATTTCAGTAGAAAACGTTGCAACTCAAAATTAGCAACTTCTTGGTAATATTGTTGCTTCGAAACAATCAATATTTCTACAAAAAAAGTTGCTTTAAAGGAACAACTTTTCTACAGACAAATTTTCTTCAAAACGACAAACTTTTGTAAGAAAAAATTGCTTCCAAACAAGCAACTTTTCTACAGAAAAATATGCTTCAGTTCTTCTTTATGAAGAACTGACATAAAACGAAGAACTTTCCAAAAAAAGCTTTCTATAGTAAAAGTTGCTTCAGAATAAGCAACTTTTTTATGGTAAAAGTCGCCTGAAAACAAGCAACTTTCTCATAGCTAATTTTTCTATAGAAAAAGTTGTTTCAAATAGACAATTTCTTTATAGAGAAAGTCGCCTGAAAACAAGCAACTTTCCCCATAGGAAAAGTTGTTTTAAAACAGCTAATTTTTCTATAGAAAAAGTTGTTTCAAATAGACAACTTTTCTTGAGGAAAAGTTGATTTAAAACGACGAACTTTTTTTCTATAGAAAAGTTGCATAACAAGCAACTTTTCTAAGTTGCCTGAAAACAAGCAAATCTGGTAACTTTTCTATAGCAAAAGTTTCTTCAAAACAAGCAACTTTTCTACAGAAAAAGTTGCCTTAATACAAGAATCTCTTCTTTAAGAAAAACCGTTCTCTATGAAAAGTTGCTGTTAGTCAAGCAACTTCTCAATAGGAAAGTTGCTTTCAATTTAAACACTTTCTTTAGGAAAATTAGTTTCATCCATTTAGTATAGTTTTTCCACTTAAAATACTTTCTCTAGAACAAGTTTACTTACAACAATGCTAGCGCCCATAAGAAACGAAAAGACTGGCCACCGACCGACGTGACGCCTTTTGCTAAATTTCATTCACCATAAGAGTCAATTAAAAAAAATATTATTAAATCTTTGTATATTTTTCTTTAACACACTTTTATTTACTTAACATAGAAAAGTTTATTTTCACAAGACGATTCGACAACTCGGCCAATATTTGTATTCTTAAGCAGGGGTGCACTGCTTGAGATTCAAAGAAACCTAAATACTAGATACTACACTCTAGATAATGAATTTTTCAAATGTTTTTTTTTTTTCAACAAAAAAAAAAAAAATGTTTATTTGTTTAACAACAAATAGCTAAAAATTATTAAAAAATCTTGTTTTTCGTTAAATAGTATTAAAATTTAAGAAAAATAAACTGTTTTTCATAAATGTAAATTATTTGGGGGAAAAAAATTTGCTCAAAAAAACACAAATTTAGGTGAGATAAAAATGATTTGTAATTTCGGCCAAGATTTATTACATGCAGAGTTAAGAGCATTTTGTTTTCATTTGATGTTTGTTTGTTGATTTTTTTCGCAATCTTAAATAAATAATGAATTAAAATGTAAGTAAAGGTTAATTAAATAGAATGCATTCAAGTTTAAATAGAAATATAAAAAGATAAAAATAATTTCTTCTAATTTTTTCTAAGATTTTCTTTCAACAAATTTTTTATTGAGCCTTTTTCTTTACATTTCTGTGACGATATTTATTTGTTTTTTCTTTCATTTTTATACCAACTCATTGCAAATGTTTCATTAACACTTTCAACTACAGCTTTCAATTAAGTTTAATAAATATATGAAAATTTCTTATTCAAATATTTTGCTTGTGATGTCGTAATTTTATTAGAAAAATCAACAGAATTAGAAAAAAGATCACACACATGCTGCAAGATTAAACAGCCGATAAATTGACATTTATGAAAAAAATCGACCAGATTGTCGGTGTTTTTTTACAAAGAGAAGAGAAGACGAAATAGATTCAGCAAAATAAACTTCAAAAGAAAATATGAGAAAAATTTTCATAGATTCTATTCTATGAAAATAGAATTCTATGAAATAGAATTTATATTGGAAAATTTCCAAAAATGAGTTATTCGTATTAGGAAACTTTTCTAAATAAAACATTGCCTTCAATCGAGCAACTTTCCTAAATAAAATGTTGCCTTCAGTCGAGCAATTAAGCAACATTTATATAGAAAAACAAAAAAATTTTATAATGAAAATGTTTCTTTCCATCAAGCAACTTTTTCGTAAAAAAACTTGCTCTAAGTCAAGCTACTTTTCTATGGAAAAATTTGCTCTTCACCAAGCAACTTTCATTCAATGCTCTAAACTAAGCATTTTTCCATAGAAAAATTTGCTCTGAATCAAGAAACTTTAGAAAAACTTAATCTGAATCAAGCAGCTTTAATATAGAAAAACTTGGTCCGAATTAAGCATCTTTTCTATTGAAAAACTTGCTCTGAATCAAGCAACTTCAATATAGAAAAACTTGACCCAAATTAAGTATTTTTTCTATAGAAAAACTTGCTCTGATCCAAGCAACTTTTCTATTGAAAAACCTGCTCTGAATCAAGCAACGTTTTTATTGAAAAACTTGCTCTCAATCAAGCAACTCTTCTATGGAAAAACTTGCTTTCAAACAAGCAACTTTCATTCAAGCGACTTTTATCGTGTCATTTTCTATAAAAATTGTTTTCTATACAAACATTTACTATCAATATAGCAAATTTGCTGTAGAAAACTTTCTATAAATTAAGCAGTTTTCTATAGAATCTGAATCAAGCAACTTGAATATAGAAAAACTTGCTTTGAATTAAGCAACTTTTCTATAGAAAAACTCTAAATTAAGTATTTTTTCTATAGAAAACCTTGCTCTGATCCAAGCAACTTTTCTATACAAAAACTTGCTCTCAATCAAGCAACTTTTTTATGGAAAAACTTGCTTTCTATCAAGCAGCCTTTTTACATTAAAACTTGCTTTACATGTGACTTTTACAAAAAATTTTTTCAAATTCTATATTTGACTTCGATTCTTTCATGTGAAAATTAAAATTAATTTCTTTTTAATTCATTATAAATCACACCACGTTTCAAACTCTTAAAAATCAAAAGTGTGTATGCCATCAAATTTTGTTTTTTTTTTTTTTTCTAAATTCAATAAGTTTTTAAGTAAATAAAACTCAGTTTAAACCTCTTCAGAATAAAGAAAAAACAACGAAAATTATTCCCCAGAACACAAATCAAATTTGTTTACTTAATAAAAAATGACACACACCGCTCTTGTCCTCATTGTATTTGTGCGTGTGAAGGCAGATCAAGGCGGCAGGTGTTTGTCTGGATGTGCTGATCATGATGTGTCATTCTATGAAAATTATGCCTTAAGTAAATTTAACTTGAGGTTGGTCAGTTCTTGGGTTTTCTTACTGTTATTTGTTTTTTAGATGGTCAGTTCCTGTAGCTGTCACATGTATTAGGTGTTTGTTTATTTATTCATTTGTTAAATATTTATTTACTTTTCATAATACACTTGTTATAGATTTGAAAAGAGAAAAAAAAAGAGTTTGAAATATTTATTAACAGGGAATATTTTTCTACTTTTTTAAATT